TTTTTTGTAAACCTGGAAAATCCCTTTTCATAAATATTGCTCTTTAGCGCCCTTCAAAATTTTTTCCTCTTTTTTTTCATTATTTTTTCATGCCAAATCCAGTGATTTTCGTGACCTCAAAACTTATCCCAAATTTTTATGTATTTTAGGCTAGAAAGATAAACTTTAAACAAAAGATGACGTTCTATAGGTAGTCCACCCGGGCCTTAAATGAAATCTATAATAAGCTTTGTTCTGCTTGCTACTACTCATATATTTTGTCTTTCGAAAAAATTTCTAATATTTAATTTCTTTCAGGTGTGGTTGCATGCAGTCTCTGTCCCATGGAACACGATGGATCCTCGAAATCTCACGATATAAATATCTCCTTCAAGATTGGCTGTGGAGAGGATGAAATTTGTACCTCGTTAATATCTATTACTGGTTCTTTTCATTATGCGAGGTAAAAAATTTGAAGAAATCAGTAGCGAAGTGGTAAAATGTAACAACGAGAATTTCTACATTTTCATAAACTGACAATTATCTCTCTTGAGTACTAGCGAACAAAAATTTATCTAGAATACATTTTGTTTTATGAAAAAAAATTTACAATGTAATTTTACTAAAACTGGTAATTTAATACGAAATTTGAATTGTAATGGTTTACTGCTTAGCTTCTGGGATAAGCCAGATCGGAAAACTGAATGAACTGCTATCTTTTGACAGTAATGGAAGAACTCTTGAAAATAATACTTGGATCGTTGGTTCTAAGGATATAAATTTACAAGTGATTCTAGCAAATACTAAAGAACCAGCTTATTCGGCAGTTTTAGTGTTAACATTGCCGAAAAACACTTTCTTGCGGAGCATACTAGATTCTTGCAAGGAGGAGGTTGACAATGGCATTGTCAAAGTCATCTGTGCTTTAAATAATCCATTAGTGGTCAATCAAAATGTGAGTATTCCAACGAAAAGATAAATTACTTCCTCAAGAACAGTATATATTTTTTATTCATTCAGGTTTATCAAACTTTTGATGTTCTTTCAGAAAACATTAATTTTTGATTTAAATATGAACGAAGTTAACAACGGTTCACTGGATGGCACTAATTTGACTTTTACCGCAAGGGTGACAACTCGAAGTCGCCAGTTAGGCGATTCAGTAATGGTATTTCCGGTTTTTCTCAGATCCAATGCGTCTCTCACCTTAGAAGGGTCAGTAATTGAAAATTACTTATTACTATGAATGCCAATAGATACTAACAATAACAATTTTTGTAGGCATGCAAATGAGCGTAATTACGATCTTCCTGTTGAGTTCAGCGCTCAAAATATTTCATTCGAACATTTGTATAAAATTTCAAAATTCGGATTCACGCCTGTCCCAAATACAAAACTGATAGTGAAAGTACCTTATCGAGTTAAGGATAGGAAGTTTCTCGCTATAACGAATGCCCCAATGGTTGGATCTTTATACATAGATATCAAACAATGCTCCATTGATTTCCGAAGAAATTCAAGGTTTTGACGATTATTTCCATTACAGATCACGGTGTCTGGGAAATCTTATCGCTGTTATACCCATGATGTTCCTGTCATACAGAACAAACAGCATTCATTCATTCGCAAGGTCATTGGGCCAGATGAAACTGATAAATCCGAATTGAACGCACATAGCAATCTCTCCCGGTTAACGAGGAGTCCAGATTCTTTTCTGCAATCATTATTACTATCAAATGTCACTACTTTGTTAAATAACACAGCACGATTTTTCACATCAGCCACCCCCGGACCTAATTTGCGGACCGTCAACTGCTCTTCGACAAACGTTCAATGTGGCACAATTATTTGCAAAATCGCTGTTTTGAGTGGCGATCACGACAGCACTAGCTTGAGATTACAGTACTCCATAAGCATTTCGCAATTGATGGGGGATGAATGGTTGAATAATGATGGTCATATTATTGAGTTTATTTCAGAGGCGTGGGTGGATATTCAAGAACCAGTTAATTGGGCAGTTCGAGGAATAGGGTAAGAACTCTGTATGTAATCGCCATACGTCATTTTAATGTCAATTTAAATGAATTGATGAATTATTTATAGAAATGTCACAAAAGTTACGACAACGTTTATAAAAATCAATCCACCTCGCAGAGTGAATGTTTGGATAATAGTCGGATGTATTTTGTTGGGATTGTTGGCATTATTTCTAATTGCAATTGGCTTGAGACAGGTGAATATATTTTGGTAATGCAATAATTATTCTCAGATATGTCCATATAAAATGATGGAATGTGTCTTGCAGATGGGTTTTTTCCGAAGACAAAAGAAAGAAGAGATGAATGAAATAAAGGAGCACGACAGTCATAAGGATACTAGACGTCTGTCTGACACCAATTTCTGAAAATTGATAAGTGTCGTTGATAAATGAAGTAATAACTACAATTTGTGGAAAGTTAATTTATTTCATTATTTTATTATCTATTTTATTCATAGTTGTTGTATCATACAGTGCCACCAATTTGCAAGCAACGGGTGTCATCAACAGGTCTGCGTATTTAAATAGACACTCTGTGTTCACTACTTTACCCCCAAAATTTGTATGTACATTTAGATGAAAAAAAGGAAATTTTTTTTTATAAACAAGGACGTACACAATAAAATTTCGTACAACTTTTGCATTCCTCTTGTAACTGAGCACTTATTAGTCAAAGAGTAATACCACTTAATATTTCACTCTGAAATTCGAGAATCCAATTCAAAATGAATCAATCAATTAAGTAATGTTATGTAACAAATACAGATATTTGTCATTATCTTCTTAGAAAGGTGTCTTCTGGCGCGAAGACTGGCTCATGTAATGCAGCAGTTATATCATCATTGCCTTAATCATTTTTGAACATTGCAATAATTTTAAACTTAAAAAAAAAACTTAGAAAAAAGAACGATAAAGTGAATATAAGAGTATAAAAAGTCCAGCAATAATGATCATTTCGACGACAGGGAGACGTTGTTAGAAACAAATTCGTCATTCCAAACCGACTTCTACTTCTCCTGGATTTTCTTTTTTTTTAAAAAAACATCAGTAAATCACATTTTGATGATTTCAAAATTTAATGATACGATTTTGGTTCTTAAGTTCAGGACTGATGGACAGCTCCATGCCTCTCATGTTGGAAGGAAGACTTCCGACGAAAAAATGTCCTTGAAGAGCATTCTTCACCTGGGGACTGCTGATTGAGACTCTCACAATGTCAGAGACTCTTTCCAACTGTGTCCCATGTATTATCACTTCCAGGCGATTTAACAACTTTCATAGCTGTTCAGTTGCTGCATTCAATGTCACCTTGTGATGAGCGCAAAAGTCAAGCTCTAGGACGTAAGAGTAAAATTACGAGGACAATCTGATGATGTTGCACCACTAGAGCTACGAACTTCTCTTCAAGGACCGCTCAAAGACACTTGAACGATCCGAAGTTCGATAGACAGTTACACGTAGATATTGGGTGATGAAAACTTGCTGACAAGATCGATGCAGAGACTCTGCAGAATCTGTAGATTATTGGGTTTGCAGGTTTAAGAAGAGAAAAGAGACTTGAGACATTTCAACCATCTTCACTCCCAATCGTAAGGCCATTTGCTTGCCCTGAGCATTTTTCTTCACTTTATAAACTCTATTTTTCAACAGATATTTTTCAACAATTCACTGGCGAATTTAGATTGAAATAGCGTCTCCTAATCGTCAATCATTGAATTGAGAGGACTTTTTATCCCACTCGGATCTTACGATAAATTAATGACATATTAATTAAAAATGAATAATTTTTCCATTGATACTAAGTAATTCTCTTATTGATTGACAATAAATATCTAACGACCGTTAAAATTTATATCAACTCCCTTCGAAGTTTTCTAGGTATTTTGCACGATTACATGGGTTAGATATTTATCATCAATAAATCCACTCACTTGGGGAGATTTTGTAAAATTTTATTATCATTATATCCGATGTTTGTTGACAGAATCAGTCAATCGATTGGACAAGTGATAAGAAAAAAAAAATGTAATTGGAAATGGAAAAAATAAAAAGAGAATATATCCTTGCGTTCCATCAATAAACATCGAATACTCATCTTTAACTCATGTACGAAGTGTTGGAGAGTTAGATGAACAGTCCAAAACTTCGTGATCTATCATATTCTCTGTAATAAACATTTTTTTTTCTGAATTTTCTGTTGGTCGTGAGTGAAAATTTTGAACATTATTGTGAAGTGAATTTCCTCGGTTGAATTTATCACAAATTTAAGTCAAGAAAAAACTAAATTCTGATGTTAAAATTTGGATAAAACATCGATAGCCAAAAGCAGAACGAGAAAACTTAAATTTGTGATAGCTATTAAATTAGTAACTCCTAATAATTAATCTTTTCATGTGCGTGAACATCAACCACGTACGTATCGCCATTTATCACGGTTTTTTCCTCATTGGAGAAAAATGAAAAATCGTTGCATACAAAGTTAAAAACTGACAATATAATGATTCTACTTTTGAAATGCCTCCGGAGGAACTTGTCCACGTTTGAAGAATTCGTGAAATGCTGCTAACGCGTTATCGTAGTGCCATTGCACTTCTTTCAAGCACTTGAGACTCCACTCCAAGTTCATATCTGTTTGCTGACTCAAGGTCAATGTCATTTGCTGCTTCACCTGATCTGATGGGTCGACTGTTGCTGAAGTTGATGGCGATGGCTCTGATGCTGGAGTAGGCAATTTCTGGGCTTCATTAAGAAGTTGTTTCTCTTGAGCGGCTGTTGGGTGAGACAAATGTAGCTGCTCGTTTCGTATGCAGTAGCCAGCGCCTTCTGGAACGATGATGAAGGTCCGATGGAAATAACGAATTGTGTTGTCCGTTCGGTCAGGTTCTTTGAAGCAGCCAGTAATGGTTATAAGCATCATTGCATCCGTGACAAGTCCAATATCCATTGTGAAACTGTTTAAATAATGTTGAGTCTTGGGCATCTCTGAGATATACGATACAACAGGCAATCGTCCCTGTTTCAACAGTTTTCTCCTCCGTGAAACGTCATTCATACGAAAAAGATTCCTATTGTCAGCAGTATAAGCACTGAATCTGTGAAAATATAATTGAAGATATTTAATAATTTTCAGTGAATCTGTTATTTTCTATAGTCATTGTTGAACTTACTTATTCATGGTTGGACAAGGTGTAATGGATAAGCTGAAACACGCGTGCTCATGATAAGCATTGAGCAGTGGTTGGCGTGATTCACTGTCGAATACCATAAAGTACTGCTGCAAAAATTGATTTGCAATCTCTCGGGCGTTGGGATTAGCAGAAAAGATCCTCTTAGTAGGTGGTAGTTTAACCGAATCCTCTGACACATCGAAAAGAATGGGTGGTGGTAAATCAGTTCCATCCTGTCGAAGATAACAAATACAATCGAAAATATAAAAATTAACCACTTTCATTCCATCACTGGCGAGATATATCCATGCCTCTTCAATACTCACCAATCGCTGGAGTTTTGGGAACCGCTTCCTCACGTCACTGTCGACACGAAATAAAAGCCAGAAGCACGGAAGCTCCACGTTAATTGTGTTAAAACAAAAAATATTGTTCGTGATTAATTACAGGGCCGGCTTCATCAAAATCAACGATTACTGACTTATATGCAATTGCATGCAATTTAAAAAAATATATTATCCAATTCCCTGTAATACTTTATTTCAAAAGTCAACCAACAGTAGAGAAAAAATCACAGTACCTAACGTAATTATCCTGTCTCGTTCTATACTTGTTGCACAATGGATTTCCAGCTAATCTCAGCTCATCGAGTTTCAGGTCTTTGATACTATCAATCTGATTCATTTCCCTTATCTATAAGTATCATAATAGATTTCAATAATTATCATGATTCAAAAAGCAGAACCGATTGCATCATTTCGGTAGCAATAAGTGAATTACTCGGTTGTCGTTTTGTGGTGTTTTATGTCTAAGGAAAAGCAAATTGTCAATTACCTTATTGTCTCCAATATACAATATCTTCAAGTTTGGGAATTTGGTGGTAAGGACACTGAGTTTCTCGATGACATGGAGCTTATTATTGTCCAGATTCAAGGCTACTAAGTTGGGAAGATTTTCAGCTACAATGTCCAGCACAGCCATGAGTGTATTTGGTCTGAAGAGGGCACAGAAATAATCAGGAGCGAGATCGGGATCAGCATGAAAACGTGAGAGATCGATTGCATTGGTTTCAGGGACATATCTCTTAGCCATAGCCATCTTCATTTTTTGCTTGAGTGCGTCATCGATGTCGATCTGAGGAAATGCAGGTCGAACCTTTACGATTATTTTGAATCCATCGAAAGTGGTAATTTTCCGATCGCACTGCAGCAGCTTATTTGCTATTTTCTGTTCATCAACGAAGAATGTTACGTCCTTATCGGAGGTTTTGTACATTATCGGGATGAATGTCGTTTCCATGTGTGTCGAGAGTGTATTGATGAGGTACTCCTTATCGTATTTGGCACCGTAGGGGATAATGATTTTGTACCAATTAGCGTCTCCAACGGGTCCCTGTTTATATCTAGACATGAGAAAAGCAGGTCTTGCTCCTCTAGAAACAGGACTGTTTCGTCCTCTGAGACCACCACATCGTCGATCTCGAAATATACCAGTTCGTCCGTTGCTGTTAGTTGTTGATGACATCATAACGTCATCATCGAGACTAGTCTTTACAATTCTCTCCACGTTCTTTGGAAAAAAACGCTTCTCATGACGTGAGAGAGATTGGTTCTTAAATGATACCCTGGGTCTACTGCTTCCACTGAATTGTTTCATCTCGGTGTCTGTATTTCTTGGCACACGATCGTCGTGAACTGTAAGCATCAATGAGCGTATTTTTTTAAATTTTTGTCGTCATTATTACGATGGTGCGTAGATGATACGAGACAAGTAGGTTAAAAAGCCAATGGTGGTGACGAAATGACGTTGTTACTGATGGTGAGCATAGTCGTCAACGAGAGGCAAAATAGTGAATTTTGAGGATCACACTTACCGAAATAATGTTTATCGTCGGATCTAGAAGTGCCTCGTCGCATCTTAGTTGACTTTTTTGGCATTTTTTATCACAAAAAACAATGCGCTCTTTATTAAAAAAAAACACACACACAACACGTTCAGCGCGCGATGGTGTCTTAGCAGTGTTTGTCGAGTGGACACGAACACTTCCGATAACTCACGGAAATACAGCACTATTATCGAGTGAGTTTTAGTTATGTTGCCACAAGGCTATAGCGTTTTGCTCGACGTTCGGACAGAATCAGTGGATTTTTACCGATCAGCGGTAAATTATCAATCGACGAAAGTTCAGATTAATTCCGTATTCCGTAAGGTAATAAAATACTGACAAACAGTGTCGACATTTTAAGTTTAATTGGGACTACAATTAATTTGGTAGAACATTCTGAAAACGAATCATTTAACTCGTGTTGTTATGTTAGTCACTAAGAACACTTGAAAAAATAACGAAGAAAACAATGCAGCTAAAGGCATGACATTTCCTGTACCTGCCTTGCTGATGAAAAATAATCTTTCAAAACCTCGAAAAAATTGAATTTTCAACGTCAGTTTAAAAATTCGAGTATTCATTAAAAAATCAATTATCGTTCATCATATGAATGAGTGACTGAGTGATTTAGCCAGTCTGTAACTAACATTTCAATAAATTTATAATAGTGTAGTTTGAGTTTTCGTGTAAAATGGGCGAAAATTTGTCGTTCAGTAAGTGCTTCTTTGCATAACAACAATAGAGTCGCCGCGGTCTCACCCCCTAAATTTCGTTCTAGCCTCATAATCTTCAAAAGACAACCGTCTCCACCGAAACCTCCACTGAAGATCACGTCAAATGATATTTTTTTTCTTCTAGACTAATCAAATTATGGTTGGAAAACTGAAACTCGTTAAATGGATCAATCGAAGGGGGAGGTTGGCATCGACCCTCCAAAAGTTATTAAACGTGTTGGAGCATGTTTTACTGCCATTGCATCCTGCGTGGCACACGTTTGTCCCCGTGTTAAATCCTCGTCTTTCCCTGTTCATGGAAAAATCTCCGATAATTTTCGTATTTATAGGATTAATCCCTCGGTACTGTGAACATACGAGTGAGTGTAAGTTTGATGGAATCCGACAACCAGCTGCATGTGACACCACACGAGCCCGCCTTTTCATCTGTTCAGCAGAGAGAGAGACTGAACAATTCATTTTCCCCCTTTTTTCTTGGTCGGCCCTCTCTCACTCTCTATTTGCTGTCCCTCGGTAAGCCGCTTATGTTAATGCACGATTTTTGCGCTTTTTTGGAAATTTATCCACCCTGCGTATTTAATCCGACATGAGACAGGGATTGAGAACGATAATTTCAGTCCAATAGAGACGTATGATCGAAAACTACAGCGAATGGCACAATTTTTATTTTTGTTTTCATTCATTCATCAGAGCATAAGAAGATTACTTCAATTCCCCCAAAAATTTAATCTTTTGAAAGACATCTCTGAATAACTCGCCAAAAATAAGAGAAATGTCATTTTTCCCCTTTCCTCTTTCGATTACCTTCGATGGTCAGCCTTGCCAATTTCTAGGTGAAATATTCTTCTCAATGCGGTGCTCAAAATATCTGGGAATTGTGCCGAAAGTAATAAATAGTAGAATCTTCAATGAACTGGTAATGAATGAGAGCTACCATCGTCCAACAACTCAATGTCTGAGATTATCTTCTGTCTCTGGAGTGTTTCTTCTCATGATACCTGTCAATTACCCGATAACACATCACAAAAAAGACCTAATATAGGACAGGGATGTCAAAGTTTTTAGAGAAGTGACGTGGAAATGAAATAGGGAACTTTTTCTCTTCAGAGAACGCACGATGATTTTCGAAAGAGCGAGGCCAATTATACCTTAATTGGTAGATAAAAGTATAAGCACAATCTTCAGAATTCTGATATAACGACAAAATGAGAAAAAATTGGCGTTTTCCCATTATGAGTGTTTCGGTATTTTGTCTCTCGCCAGTAATCGGAGAATGATTATCTCTCAGACACTCTTCTAATGCAAATCGTTACAATGTGGATTACGTAAGTGTCAAAGTTTTCGGTGAAATGAGTAAAATGAGGAAACTTTATATTGGAATAATGCAGCGATGTTTGTACAGGGTTTGAACGTGGGCGGTGAAGATAATAAAGGAAGGGCAGGCATCAAGGACGAAGGGGAGAATTGCAAGGTAGACCTAGGTGACACTGGGTAAGTCACATTTTGCTATCGATTAATGATAATACCTTTGTTTGAGCAGAACTCTGTGCTGATGAAAGGAGAATGAAAAAGATTGAAACTGCCCCTTGGGCCCATTGACATAATTCAAATTTTAGTGCATACATTTTGTACCATTCGCAAAGCGTTTACCAAGAGATTACAAGTTACAAATTAGACTCATATATTGTGGGATTAGGTTCTATACTGCCGATATATACTTTATAGTTTAGGATAGATGGGATGGGAAAGAGGGTGCTTTACTGGGATACTGTTCAAACAACAGCTCAGAACCGACGGACTACATCTGGACAGCTACTAAACGTATTAACGTCATAATTCAGAGGAATATTTTACAAGTGTGCGTACTATTCTTTTTTTTTTATATATTGCTTGATCCTTTTTAAGGTTTTTCGAGGCTTGGAGGTATCTTCCCCAACTAACCGACTCGTTTTCATTTTTTTATATTATTGCAAACACCCAAAAGGATTTCTTCTCTTTCAAATTCACAATGATAGGATTAGAAATGAGAATACTGGTCGGTGGATAAGAAATAATGGAAGTAAAAATTTTCTTCCTAAATTCAATATGTCATTAAGGTAATTAAGTTGGTAATTATTCCGGTTGATTAATTAATTGCCGTTTTACACTTTATTAAGGTGAATAATGGCTTTTAATAGAATTTTTACAATCCTTCTCACTACCATGTTCTTGGATAATATTTGCTTTCAGATTAGCAATAACATTTCGAGTGTTAAAATTTTTTCACGGCAATTTTCGCATTCTTTGCATTGTTCTTTAAATTTATTTCCATTGAAAATCTACGGAGAATAACGCGCAAATCTACTTTCAAGATTTCATCTGTCAGGTAGTGAGAAATTTCGTCTGTGCGCATTGTTTATTCTATTAGCATGTTTGATCCCCTAACAGTTGACCAGCAATTACAGACAATTCTCAATCAATGACAATGGCTCGAAGCGGCGGCACTGTAAATTCTGTTATCGTGTCTCGTGACTGGAGATTTTTTTTTATTCCATTCTCCCGGTCTTTACAACTCGTACATCAACGTAGGGTCTGAGAATTGCCCATTGAGTGAATTACGATTTACATTGCGGGTGGTCGAGATTGCGTTACTGAGAAATATTTACGGTGGCACGCGCCTCGGGATTTCACTAGTTGTTATATTACCCAACGGTTTATGTCGCTTTATGTCGCCACTTACTCGTGTAGTGCTACTGAGGATGGAACCACCATCTCTACAGCCTATTTTAGTAGTAGAAAGAGAGTGATCAATGGGAATCACATTTTCTGTTATTTCAAACACGTGCGTATAATATAATTTGTTGACGTTTCGAATCCATCGAAAAATTCTATTACGCTTCCTCATGGAAATGAACAAGTTTTAACGCACTCGAAATGAAAGATGGAAAAATTAACTTGTATAAAAAATTAATATTAATGACCCAAGGTTTATATTGACTCAGGCTAACGATATTGTTATATCCCCTGAAGAATTCCCCAATATAATTCGTGGGGCACGGAAGCTCTGAAAGATATATATTACGACGAAGGCTTCGTGGTATACGCAAGAAAATAGACGATTAAGTGAGGATTTGAAGGGCAATACTTACAAATATTAAGCAAAAATTATTTCGAGAGTTAGCCATTTTGGTAAATATGTATATTAGGGGCCTCATTTCCGATTAAGCGGTGTAAGCCTCTCAACTCTTTTGGCACCATCTCACAAAAAGGAAGTGCAATAGAGATCTTACAGTGGAAAGACGTCACATTTTCATACGATTAAGAGAGCCGCTAACCCTTATATGTGGTTAATGAATTTATATTGGTGTTATCAGGTACTGGGTTTGGGGGGTAACGTTTAGCCACCGTTCTGAAGTATTCGTACAACACTTCTTGTGTCTAAAACGGTGATAAAACACGAATCGATCGCCAACCTCCATTGTAATGCATTTTCCGACATTTGGAATTGAGTTTTTTTATGAGGTTGTGTGCGAAAATTCCGACTTTTCGCTTTTTTTCCACTGAAAATAGGTGCGGCCTCCAATGTACATATCTACGTCCATTTTTACCGATGCACGGACAACCACAGAGAGTTAACGAATTGACGAATTAATTAATTAACAAATAAAAAAGTCAATAGATCTCGGTAACTTGTTAGTTGGAATGGAGGTTCGGTAAATATTGCTAAACCGTATATGTGCATATCTTGATTAATAAAGTTTGGCCAAATTTGCGGGACAGTTATATGAGATAATCAAGAGGTATGAGGTTTTGTGAGTATTTGGTTTGTATACATTCGTAGAAATTGCAGTAAATTATCCGCCGTATGAGATCATAATATCAATAAATTTTCAAAATTGCCAACTCAAGTCAGCTCTCAAACGAGATTTGCTCTTCTAATATACGTTTGATGAAATTGCAATGCTATCGAACGTTTCTCTGAACCATTGAATTACCACTCAAGTATACAATGATTGTTTTCATTGTCAATCTTTCTTTTTAGTCATTTCCATGACTACGAGGATGGGATTGTGCGGTACAGCTCTTACTTAGAGGTAGAGCGCGTTACAGCGCGCATGATTGGGTAGTAATACCAAAATATTAATAATAAATAATACTCGATTAATAAAACTAATTCAGTATATTTGCTCAAGTCGCTGTTTTCCTACCGGTAATAATTGCATTTGATCAAATATTCGTTAAATCAAATATATGTAGCGATTTTTTTCTCCCGAACAACGTACATCCGTCCGTTGTGTTATATCCTCGTAATTTATCGTTGCTTCGACGACTAACTCCGTGACTAAGTCACCGTATCAAAATCCCCTGTCCCCTGGTACATTTACAGGGATAATATTCACTCTATAGACACTCGGTTGGAAATGAAAAGTACA